CCCCTATTATCAATCAAGCAAACATGACAAATTTTCACTGGGCATGTGAGGTTACATTATTTAGAAAACTTGAAAGATTATCATGTAACACTATTTTTTGATATGCACATATATCATTCTCTGTTGCACAAAAGAAACAGCTGAATTGTATTAACATCAGCTATATTAAAAAATGTCAGCTAAGTAAACAATGAAACTTCAATAAAGAAAAAAAATGGGAAATAGTCCAAAATCAAGTTCTGACACATCTGCTAATAATCTATGAAAGAATTCAATTAAGAAAATATATTAAAATTAGAGCACAAAGAATTATTTATTTTAGGGGAAAAACAAGAAACTACACTTTTAAATGTACAATGGAAAAGAAATATATTTTGCAGTTACTGAAACTGAGACTAATAGAAGCTGTTAGAAAGATAAATTTTCCAACAAAAAATGGACCAAAATGTATGTAAAAATTTTATATGAAGCATAGAAAGGAATTTGACATACAATAGAGAGAAATGTCTTAAGTTATTCCTTTTTTAATGAAAGAGGAGCACCACATAAAGACTCCACTGAGATTATATTGTTTAGCAGATTATTTGGCTTAAAGGTAGGTATTTGAGAAATTAACTGAATTTCTGTTTATAATCAGGTCAGAAGGTGATTTCTCCCTTGTGCTTTCATTTCCTCCTCCCGGGGTCTGTCTTCATTATTTTTAATAAAATCTACAGTCATCCATCAAGAAAAGAATGTTATACAAAGATCTTTTCTATAAGAAGCTAACATTTATCTTATTGCAATATTTCCTACTGAACAAAATATCTCCCTATTTTAGGGTTTTATGTTAAAACACATTACACAAAATAAATGTCAAAATTTTAGTATTTTTTAAGTTCCCTTATTTGCAATATACAAAATAGATTTAGTTGGAATTCATGATTTCTACAAAGACACAAGAATCTTAGTTGCTAAGCTACCTCCTAGGAGAACCATCACCGTGGTTGTGAATTAAATTTCACTTTCTTTGAAATACAACTTAGTTTAAACAGGAATGGGCTCTCTGGTCATTCCTCCACCAAAGACTCTCCATAAGACGCCTGAGAGGAAGGTTTGGCCATGTTTGCCCTCACGACTGCCAGTGGGCCTGGGCGGGCCTCCATGTCACCTCTGCTGCACAGGAGGTGATGGCAGCCCTCCTCTTTTTTACCTTCTCCCCACGACTTTCAAGATAATTGGTTAGGAATGGGAGAAAAAAATATGTATTTAATAAAGGTTAGAAATCCATAATATTCATCTCTTAAGGGAAGGGCAAGGAGATTCCCTGTCACCTCCATTTTATTCTTTGACAAAATGCATACACATTCCTGCACACAAACTCTACTAGTACTACTCACTTGTGGAACAAATGCAGTGATTGTGTTTGCAATTCAGGCAATAAGCACTAAAATATTAAAATAAACAGACTAGCAAAAGAATAGTGCTGTTCATTTCAGAGCAAAAACGTTCCCTCAGCTTATTTTCTAGAAATTAAATTACCTTCATAGAAACAAAGGCTATCTTAAACCCAATAGCCATGACATAGGGCAGGTAAACAGGGAGCTACCAGTTCACTCACAGCACATCGCTGGGTCTTCATCGCTGGCATCAGAGCAGTCTGGCTGAGAGTCACAGATGGAGTCTCGGGTGATGCACTGGCTGCTGACACAAATGAACTCATCCACAGAGCACAGCTGTCTGGAGTAGACCCACAGCCGATCAAGCACGATAAAGCTTCTCTGGGTCAAAATAATACCTTCAAAAACAATCTTCGGGGGGAAAATGATCAATCTAGGACCTTGTAATCTCTTTTAATAGACAAAAACAAAAATCCTAAAGAAGGATGACAGAGATTAAATAGTAAACAGCTGTTTAAGGAACAGCCAAGGACAACTGTTAGCAAAGTTCCTATTTGGTAAATTCAATTCAAACTCCCGACACTGATGAAAATGTTTGCTCCATTAAGACCTCTAAGAAACTACCCAGGATGGGTGAGATCACAGCATCGCACTTATCCATCCAAAAGTCCTAATTGCAAACTTGTTACTTGGGCTTCACCTTCCCAGCTCACTATCTTCATGAAAAAGAAGTACTAATGTCATGACTTACACAACATGTGCCGTAACTGAATCTCAGTTTTTAACTACTAAAATTGATATCTGAATAATGGGAAAGACGACCTGATAAAAGGAACCTAATCTAATAACAATTTAAAACTACAAATATAAAAATCAATTAAACTTTTAGAAAAGAACACTTTTTCTAGTGAGAATAAAAATGTCACTTTCTAAGCAAGCTGCCAGCTATTCTGGAAGAAAGCAGTATTAACCAGGGAAACAGCCTTACATTGCCACTCACATGTAGAACAGTGTCAAAATACTGCGGCTCCTTGAGGTTCTACCAAGAAAAATGATTAAACACTCAGCATGCAAAAGAATAAATAATGGGCTGTATAGTGAATAACTAATCTCCTGCGGTCCAAGTTAGGAGCTAATAGTTAATTATAATTATTCAATCTTAATGATTTAAAATAAAATTAAAATTGAATTTCTCAGTCACATTAGCTGTCTTTCAAATATTCAAGAGCCCCATACTATATTACTAGTGGCTACCATATTGAACAGTACAGGTGTAGAAAATTTCTGTTCCAGCAGAAAGTTCTATTGAACGGCAGAACTAGATGTTAAAAAGTTTCACCAAGATAGTAGAAATAAAGACTGACTCCTTTCAGTCTCATTCAGCCTAAATTTTCTAAATGGACTTTTGTATTTATTTTAAGAATTACTTTAATCAAGTTTCAGTTTGCAAATATATTTAAAATTTTACTTTAGAAGATAATATTAAAAGACATCTACTAAATGTTCCACCCAAAAACAGAATGTGCAGTCTTTTTGGTGGCACATGGAATTTTCTCCAAAACAGAATACATACTAGCCAGTAAAGCATGCTTAAATAAGTGAAAAAGAATTGAAATTATACCACGGATAAGACAGTTCCTGCAAGAAAATGATGTGCACCATTATAACATTAATCAAACTTATGGGACACAATGAAAGCAGTACTAAGAGAAAAGTTTATATCTGTGAATGTCCACATCCAAAAATAACAACAACAACAAAACAATCAGAGTACACCCAGATAAATAACCAAATGATACTGCTACACCTTAGGGTCCTAGAAGAACAATAATAATCTAAATTCAAAATTAATACAAGTAAAGAATTATAAATACAAGAGCACAAATCACAAGTTGCAATTAAAAAAGCAGCACAAAGAATCAATGAATTGAAGAGGTGGCTCTTCACAAGAATAAACAAAATACACAAGCCCTTAGCCAATCTCACAAAAAAAGAAAGAAGAGACACAAATCAATGCAATTAGAAATAAAAACGTGAAATCACAACAGACACCACTGAAATGCAGAAAATTATTAGCAACTGCATCAAAAACCTGTACACCAATAAATTAGACACTTCAGAAGAAATGCAAAGATTCCTAGGTTTACATGGATTACCAAAACTGAACCAAGGACACATAAAAACCCTTAATAATCACATACCAGACAATAAAATTGAAGCAGTAATTTTAAAAAATCTATCAACTAAGTAGTCCAGGTTTGTACTACCAGAACTTCAGGGATGCTCTAACACTAATACTCTTCAAGGTCTTTAATGAAATTGAAAGGGAAAGTATACTCCCAAAGTCATTCCCGGAAGCTAGCATTAGTCTGATTCTAAAACCAGACTAAGTTCAACCAAAAACCATAACTATAGGCCAATCTCCTTAATGAACATAGATGCAAATATCTTCAACAAGATACTGGCAAAAGGAGTGCAACCAATCATCAAAAAGATCATATATCATAGCCAAGTAGGCTTCATCACAAGGATGCAAGGATGGATCAATGTATACAAACCAGTAAATGTAACATAGAACATAAATAAAAGCAAGGTCAAAAATCACATGGTCATCTCGACTGACACAGAAGAGGGTTTTGAAAAATCCAGCATCCATATATGATACAAACACTGAAAAATATGTATAGAGGGACTGTATCACAATCTGATAAAAGTCATATATGACAAACTTACTGTCAACATATTAAATGGGGAAAAACTAAAAGCTTTCCCTCTAAAATCAGGAGCAAGATAAGGATGTCCACTATCACCACTCCTGTTCAACATACTTCTTGAAACGTTAGCCAGAGAAATCAGGCAAAAAAAGAAATAAAAGGAATACGTATGAGAAAAAATGAAGTCAAATTATTATCTGCAGATGACATGATCCTCTACAGATAAGACTCAAAAAAAATTCCACCAAAAGAATCCTAGAATAACCAAATTCAGCAATGTAGCAGGATGCAAAATCAACACACAAAAATGAATGGTGTTCCTATACCTCAGTAATGAGCTGAAAAAGAAATCAGGAAAAAAATAATATTCACAATAGCATCAACAAAAAATACACACTTAGAAATTAACCTAACCAAAGAACTGAAAGACCTCTACAATGAAAACTATAATACTCTGTAAAAGGAGACCAAAAATTTTTTAAAAATCAGAAAATGTAAAGCTATCCAGTTTGTTCTTGGATAGGCAAAACCAGTACAGTTCAAAATGGCCATACTTCTGAAACTATATACAGATTTAACATCAATCTCAATCAAAATACCAACAACATTCCTCACAGAATTATAGAAAACAATCCTAAAATTCATATGGAATCAAAAGAGACCCAGAATAGCAAAAGCAATCCTGGGCGATAAGAGCAAAGGAGGTGGTGTCACAATCTCAGATCTGAAGTTATATTATAAAGTTACAATTATAAAAACAGCATGGTGCTGGGGAAAAACAGACACAGATCAATGAAACAAAGAGAGTACAGAAACATCCCCAGGCCCATTCAGCTATCTGATCACTGACAAAGGGGCCAAAAACATACACTAGAAGCAAGATAACCTCTTTAATAAATGGTTCCGAGACAGTTGGCTACCAACATGCAGAAGATTGAATCTAGGTCCATATCTCTCACCATGTAATAAACTAAAATCAAAATGGACACAGTTAATCTGCTGAAAGATAAATAAGGTAAAATTCTTGAAGTGTAGGCAAGGACTTCCTGAATAAAACCCCAATTGCACAGGAAAAAAATACAGGAATCAAAAAAGGAGATATCAAATTTAAAAGCTTCTGCACAGCAAAAGAAACATCCAACAAAACAATGGTACAACCTAGAGTAGGAAAAATTTTTCCAGCTATTCCTGAGGACTAATGTCTAGAATATATATGAAGAAGTCAAAAATTAGATCCACCAAAATAAAAGACCAATCAAAAAATAGGCAACTGAAGTGAAAAGATACTTTTCAGAAAAAGCAAAGATGAACAATAAATACATGAAAAAATGTTCATCGATTTGGCCATTAGATAAATACAAATTAAAACCATACCAAGATACTGTATTACTCCATAAAGAATGGTTATCATCAAAAAATGAAATAACGCTTTCTAGTGAGACTGCAGGGGAAAAGGAACCCTTCTACTTTGCTGATGAGAGTGAACTGGTACAACCATTATGGAAATCAGCGTGGAGATTCCTAAAAAGACTAAAATAAGAAATTTCATTTGACTCAGCTATGTCCCTTAGGCATATCCCAAAGAGTTAAAGATATCATATTACAGTGGTCCATGTATATCCATGTTTATAGCAATGCAACTCACAGTAGCTAAATCTTGGAAGCAGCCTATATGTCCATCAGCAGATGAATGGATAAGGAAAATATGGTATTTATATATACACAATGAAGTCCTACTCTGCTATAAAAGAAGATAAACCTGAGTCATTTATAGGAAAATGGATGCACCTTGAGACCATAATGTTAAGTAAAATTAATCAGTTATACAAGCTTAAATATTGCATGGTTTCTCTTACATGAGAAACACAAAATCTAAATAAAGAGCAAAATAAAGAATACACAAGAAATGAGGAGTTATTAATTTCTCATATGGGATGGAGATTAAGAGACAAAAGGAGGAGGAAGTGGAGAGGTAAAGAGTTGAAAAAAGAATTAAGATGTATCATGTATAGGTATAAACTCTCCATAAAGAATGTCATCATTATGTATTGGAAAGATTTACTAATAAAAAATAAAAACTATAAAAAGATAATATTAAATTTAAATCATGTCCAATCACAAGAACACTTTATATACTGCTGTTCACTTTTCTCATAATCAGTATCATAAACATGAAAATTATTGGGCTGGTAGCTATACATATTAATAGCAACAATAAGTCAAATATGCAGAAATAATAACGATTTGGGGGTTTCAAATATTGGTAAGTTTCACTTAGATCTCTAAAGTCTGTCATTATTGAAAAGTTAATTATATTTCATATGTATTTAAAAGCCTATAAAAATCACAAATTTACTTTCTTCACATTTATTGTCTTTGAGTCAAATAACATGATCAACTTTAATCTTCAGTTTGTGGAAACAGAAAGAGACTCAATGAATATTTCTTTCAGAAGTTATAAAGATAAATGCCAGGTTATAAATGAATTAAAATTGTGTCAAAGCATTACCTCAGAAATATAACATGTGACTTTAACTTCAAGTTCACTACAAAATTTCTATGGTTCAGAGGTTTCTATGGTTCTATGGTTGCAAGTGTATGGAATACTAAATGTCTACATGTTAGTATTGGGGGAATTTTTCCCTTTAACACCTAGAAAACGTATGAACTATAGCATTAAAGGGCCGCAATTTGTTTCATAAGCCATCCATAAAACCAATCTCTTTTAAAATTCACACCCAAGCATAAACATATGCCTTTATGCTACATACAACACAAAATCTCACGTTAATATTTTAAGAAGCAGCATTCATTGAGTTTCTCTGGCATATATATGTTTCAAATGTATCTTGGTATAGATACAATTATCCAAGTGTTATAAAAACATGAATTATTGCATCCAGAACATTTATATATATATTTCACTGATTTTCAACATCAGTTTACCATTTATCATATTCATAATAAACATCGCTTCTCTTGTGCAAGGCAGAGATCTGGAATTGCTACACAGAAATGAGGCAGCTTTGATCGAGACTATACACAACAGCTCCTCTGCTCATGGGAAATGTGGTCCAGTAAGGGCCAGAGATATATAATTACTACTCTCCCAGACATACAAGGTTACATTCTTAATTTACATAGTAACTCAAATTTAGTAGTTGATGATAAATTCACCACTTCAAAACTAAAAGTTAAACTTGTGATTAAAAATACTTGTTTATTTCCTTTTATACCTTAAATGTCTTCAGACCTTCTGGTATTAATACATCTGCTCTCATCCATTTGCTCTGAGTTGATGTATTGTATGTCCAAAATGTTTCTTCTTCCTTTGAAGAAAAAGACATTCTGTTTTCACACTGATATATATGCTTCCTTAACTTCATTTCAGTAAGAAGTTCCATATATTATACATATATATATATATATGTTACATACCTGTACAATGATCCACTGCTAATTTCCAAAATATGTAAAACTGTCACTAACCACTATGAAGTTAGACATTTTAGCAAAAGTCTCTGATATACCCCAGGACTGTGCTTAGAGTATCGGTCTTTATGATTTATGGCCATGCTTTTCTGATCTGAGATAATCCCATTTTTTTTAGATTTTAGAAAGCATTGAAGTTAATTTGACATTTCCCTGGGAAAGACAGAGCACAGTGCTCATAATATGGGATGTATTTATTTTTCACGTATAAATATCATGAAAACATGGAGAATTCCATAAATATTTCTCGGGTTGAGCTCTAAGACTGGCCTTGCTTGGCTTCTAGTGTGAGAGAGAAAACAAGAAAAAGTGACAAATACTTGTAATTCTAATGACACACGACCTTATTTTTCACTCATGTAAGCATTTATCTCCTCACTCTGCTTCACTATTTTATTTGTAGCCAAAATTTCCTAAAAACGAATCTATTTCCAATTTAGTCCTATACACTCTGAAGTCTGCTCTGAATTTCCAAGCCCTAAATATTTTGGAAGGTAATCTAAATCCAAAAAAATATTCTTCGTGTCAGTACTTAGCCATATCAACTAGCAAACCTTCCACAACACAGAGAAACACAGGAGACGAACACTCTTTTAGCTTATAGATTCCTTGTCACAGCAGGATGAACTAGTTATAAACGTCAAGCTGTACAACAAATCCTTCCAATTATTTCCTACACATCTTCATTTATTTAGCAACAAGACATGTAGGCCTTCCACAAACACTTTTAGTGACACTGCTTGGCATGTTGGCTTTCATACATCTCCCATTGTTCATGTTATGAGAAAAATTTAGAGCAATTGTGTTTTTATTCCAGAATGACTAAGTGATTTCCCTGAGTTTTACCTGAAGATGAAAGCATTTACAGGTTTTTGAAGAGGAAGCAAGAGTTCTTCCGAACTTGTGGCCTTTTGTATACTAAGTTAATGGGATGCTCTGAATGAAATCCAGATTTTTCTACCATTTTCTTTCCTAATAATATAAAGAATGGTATAAAAGAACTTTCTCCAACTAACCGAAGACAGCTTTTATTTTTTTCTTGCTCTCAGACCACACGTAGTTATTTCTAAGTTGTCAATGTAAAAAAGCAACTCACATCCTTGAAAAGCTTTTCATGTGATGTCCTAATTTTCCTATTATCTTAAAATCAATCAATCAATAAACAACATTAAAACTCTTTGCTCCCTGCCCAGATCAATAATGCCAATTTACCTTTCAACAGAAACGTTTTTACCACATTTCTTAGAGATTTCAGCTTATCTTTCTCAAGTGAAGAAATCAAAGTTGCCAAATTCAAGGTTGTTGGGTTTTTTAAAAAAACACTATTTTTAACTGCAACCCAAGATAGACCTATGTAGTTTGGTAAAGACTTTCTTTCAAGGAAACCTTATAGCTTTAAAAACTGTATCATACAAAAATATTCTATAACGTATTGCCTTTCTAAATTTTATGTGCATTCTATTTACCACTGGAGATTTAGAAAACATGGAAATGGTATTTCAAGCAACTCAATCTTGATCCAGGACTCGATGTCTTGCAGAATACACGGTGCACACCACGAGTTCAACATCAGTTGATACTCTCCAAACTGTATACCCAATTGGTTCTACTCAATACGCTAGATCAGTTCTGCTACCTTAACTTACTTTCCTTATAATGTGTGACATGAACTCTTATTAAGTCTATTTTTATTAGATTA